GCCTTCGAATCGAGTGATGATGGTAGACAATCAGCCCTCCTAAGTAAAGTTTTGGCTACGGACTTTTTATGGCAAATAGGATGGTGAGAATCGAAAGCGAGGTATTTGTCGGTGTGAGTGGGTTTACGGTAGACACTTGTCTCTAAATTACCCTGAACCCCTCTAAACACATTCAAATCAAGAAAGGGCAAATGTCTATCCTTTTCACGTTCAAGGGTGAATTGGATCGACGGCTCTACTGAATTCAAATGCGACAAGAGGCGCTCCGCTTCATTTCCGGATACCGCAGAAATAACATCATCGACATATCGTTTCCAGAAAAAGGGTTTAACCGGTGAGGTGGCTAAGGCCCTTTGTTCCACGTCTTCCATTACCATGTTAGCAATGACAGCAGAAACAGGCGAACCCATAGCTGTACCAAAAACTTGTTGATAGTATGTGCCGTTATATGTAAATTGCGTGGTTTTGAGGCAATTGGAAGTTTCCAATGTCCTTAAGGCAAATGGCTATACAAAAACTTTTCTCCGTAACTGCCAAAAACCAGTTACAAATAGTAACGCTCTTGATGAAAGGGAACCAGCGACTGGTTTTGCTGTTATTCCTTACATACAGGGTGTTACTGAACCCATCAAGAGAATTTTGAATAGCCACAACGTTAAAGTTGCTCAAAAACCTTTTCAGACTTTGGGGCATATTTTCGCCAAACCTAAGGATCCTGTCACGAAAGAACAACGAACCGACGCCATTTATTCTATTCCTTGCAATGACTGTGATAACGAATACATCGGACAGACCAAACGCCAGTTTGGTACACGGTTAAAAGAGCACCAAAAAGCGGTTTTTCTTTGCAAAAAGGAAAATTCAGCTTTATCGGAGCATACTTGCCTAACCAACCATACAATTGGGTGGGATAATTCTAAAATTATCACCACTAATCGGCGTTACCACCAGCGCCTTTGTTTGGAGGCTTGGCACATTAACTCCGCCCACGCTCCTTTAAATCGTGACGATGGCGGTCTGCTTCCTGACGCCTATTTACACCTCGTCAGAAAAAAGGCCGCTAATTAGTGATCATATAAAAGGACCTCTTGTTGCAGCATTTAGATCACCCCTGATGAAGGCACTAGACAGGAGTGTCGAAACGTTGGGTCTATGAATTGTAACTTCTTCGGTTACATTCATTAAATCTGCAAACCAGTGTAGCTTCAAACTATATATCCTTTAGAGTTTCACCAGATTTTGTTTGGTTATAAAGTCAACAGCCCACCAAGAAAATTTGTCTACTATCTGAAAGTATATCTTTGACATTCGATTTTTTTGTTAAATTTCCCTGGTAACAAGCGATCTATAATTTGATATTTTGAGAGATCAAAGTGGTAAGCATTTTAACGTTTTCGTAAATATAAGGATAACAATTACCCACGGCAGCTGTCTTTTAGCTCAGCACACAAGGTTTTATACATCAAAAAGAATCACTTTGTCATTACGCACCCAAACTTCGAATACATACCTCATATAAACCAAGTGCGAGAAATAGAGAATACATGGGCGCGCATAAAGAAATTCCACATCTACAAGCAACCATGTATTATTTTGTCTATCATATCAACACAATAGCCCTTTACTGACAAGAAAAGCCGACTACATCAATGAATGAAAATAAATGAATCGATAATCCCCGAATAACAATCGTAGAGTGCGTTGGCGCTAACTCTTAAGATGGAAAATGCGTCGAATCATGATTACATAAACAACAATGGTCGTAATTTTCAAGTTACAAAATTCTCATTTATCGACTTTGTCCTTACCGACAGAAGAAGTCTTTCAGGTAAACGGCCAAAATCGGCCAGTGGCAAATCTTCCAGTTGTCGATTTTCATTCTCAGCCGCGAAAAATGCCAACATCAAAGCCACTGAATACGTAACTTTCGGTTTTTCTTTTTGCATATTGGTTTTTTTCCCCTTCTAGGAAAATTTGAACCTCACTGTCTGTCAGCGATACCGACTTTTTAGTGTTTTAGCCGCCATAATCCGAGAAAGTTCCGACAAACTACCTAGTGCTGAGAATCGTGAAGCCTTTGCTGTTCATTAGAGTGATTTAGCAAGAGGACGGGAACGTCATTTCAGAACGAGAAAGTGAACGGATAATCTGGACCTAACGACTCTATTTCGACTTCCGGTGTTAGCATTGCCGTTCTCCCCGTCAAGTTCAAGACGTCATTTTTCTGGTTTTCCCGTCGTAATCAAAACGCCTAGGATTTGCGTTAATTGTGCACCTATAAACGAGATAATGCTGTTTGGGATGATTTCAGAACTCATTTCCAGGATAACCAGGTCCCTTTCTTTGTTTTATTCGGTGAATTTTTGAAAATTTACCGCTACATTTATTCTGGATTCCCGAAAGGAAACGCGATCGTTAGAAAACGATCCAAGATTTTAGGGCTCAGTTACCTTTTGTAATTGAGCGTGGCTTTAAACAACGTAAGGGATTTTCTTTGAAACATTTCTTAAACCATGTATGAAAACTCTAAGAATGGGTGTTGTTAATTTTATCGTGAATTAACGATAACGGTGACTAGTTTGAGTGCATTTCATTCGTTCATGGTTAAACGGAACTCATTGTAAACAACTCCATCGTTGGGTCGCTTGATCTCTACATGTTTTCGCCATAACTCCTGATGAATCCGTTCAAAATGCGTTGCAACTCTAAGAAGGTGGTGCTCAAAAGAGATGTACTGTCATGACTGACAAGAATATCTAGTAAACAAGGGAAAAAGCGGCGACGATTTCAATTTCAAATTATACTTTACAAAATTATGAAGAAAAATGAGTGTTGCTGAAATCTAGAAGCACGAAACGAAATGACAGTGATACAAATCATGGAAAAAAAATGTTTAGTGGGCTTCAAAATTTGATAGATGAATGAGCAGACTCGAGACTTAACTGGAATGGAATAATTTAAAAGTTTAATCGCCCATGTGGATTCATATTAACAACTCACTTGTGGTAAACTATCCTCGGTTTGTGCTTGTTACACTCTCAAAGAGGATAATTTCGTTGTCCTTCAAGTGGTCTATGAAACCGAAAATTCAAAGCTGATAGTGATCGATCCTAAAGAGTCGAGGTTAGGATATTCAAGAACAAATATAACGTTGACGCTTCGTTGCAACGACTGCAAAGTCACTTTTCAACACTACGCGACGGCGTTCTCGACCCAGTTTCTTATCGGCATTTTTGCTGCGCGCGCCGTTCTGAAATGACGTTCCCGTCCTCTTGCTAAACCACTCTAATCTCTTGGTGTGGCTCGAGTTGTTTGTGGCCTTTATGAGCTAAAATCTCGCATTTGATTTTGGGAGGAATACAACCACTTTGGTTGAATTTATAAGGTATATCGATTTGATCGATTTTCGTCAAATTTCGCCAAAACATTTCAGGAATAATGACAAACGAAAGTGTGTCGGGAAATGTTGATATTTGAAATATTTGTCCCGTGGCGTACATTTTGCAACACGCCTCGCATATTTTCAGCTACTCCAACTTAAGATGTTGATATCTAGACAACCAATCAGAATATTGAAAAAGCCTGACAGCCTTCTATTGATTGATGCCTTGTGAATAAGACTGTGCAGCCATTTTGCACGTGCTGCGGCATCCGATACCCGATAAATTTAACGGAAGAACCTTCGGTCGTTTCACGCCTTACCGGCTCCTAACACTTCTTTTAAGTTCCCCAAGGAGACTCGCGAAGGGGGAAGTAAACTTACATGCTGTTCGTTTTCCTAAACGGAATCTTGAGATCATAAATGAAATATTTCAACCTTGGATTTTGTTTTGCTTTGCTTTGTTTGCGCTGTAATAGGGCTCCATAGTAAATTTGCGGATCAATATCAGTATCTGGGTAACTGCCCACCTACCCCTCCCCTAACCCAACACTAACCCTAACTTGTTATCAAGTGACTGTTGTTGAATTAGGGGAGGGGTAGGTGGGCAGTTGCCCAGATACTGATATTGATCCAAATTTGCTTGGACACACAGACAAAAAAAACTTTGCGAAGGTGCTGTCTTTAGGGTAAATAGGACAGCCTAAAATTTATTTTATGATCAACTTTAAACTTGCAGCTGGAATAAACCTTGAGGTATGCTTTGAGCTTTTGAACTTTATATCACAAATAATCGAGCTTTTGTACTCCTTTTCTGTTAGGCATCGGTCGACAGCAGTAACTGGTACACGGAGGTTGTCACGCGCGTAAATAATATTCCCCGTCTTTCTTACGAACTGTTGCGTAAAACTCGGATTCATACACTTCAATACTTCCGTCAGACCGTCACAGCCGTTGTTTGGAGGCCCTAGACTTCCAGACTCACAGCCAGTTATTTGCACTTTGTTAGATGTTTTTGCTCTTAGCTTCATCAAACTCTGAATTAAAACGTTGCTACTTTCTCGTGAGCTGTCCGCCATTTTGTTCTTCTGTGTTGTTGCGACTTTCCTGTCAATTAATTTAATCTCAACTTTCTCCGCTCAATTTCAACTTTCTAAACTGTTTGGGAATAATCAAATGAGCCAATGAGCATGCTGATATTTTTGTACGCATAATTTTACAAACAGATACATTATAGAAGTGTGTGACATCCTCATGGGTCAGCTCTCTGTCAAGGTTTCAAACTGTAATCGCGACTGAACCCCTTGTGTTTAAAGGGCCAAGGTTATGGGTTTCTTTTGGTATAATTGTGTGCTTTCTCAACATACACGCCCAAAACATCAAATTTCCGATCAGTACTCTCTGTCTGCAATTCATACTCACATAGAAATAGATGAATATTTCCTAGTTAAACTAAACGCAGTACGTTTTAATCCTATTCTATTAACCATTCATACCATTATAAGCAGAGGCGTTTGATATTGGCCAATAGACTTAAACTTCGTCATCTATTTCGCAGTTTAGGTCACAGAGGAAAGGAAAAACTCGGTTCTGATCCTGTCATCTTTTGTCCTCTACGAAAATGGATAAGTCTCCGGAACCAGACGAAGTGCTTCGCTCTTCGAAAGGGAGAAACAATTTTCAAAGTCTGGCTCGGCTTTTGATAAGTGGAGGTACTGCGCTACTGAGGGAGGTTTTTGACATCAAATGTCCACCAAGTAATCTTCCTACAACACTTCAGAATCCAGCCACGAAGAAGCTACTTAAGGCAGCTCCACTCAGCAAATCACAGAGGGACTGCCTGTACCCCTCTCCAGGGATGTATGGAAAGTCAACAGACTTTGAGATGACTCTCCTTTTCCGGTTGCTGAGGACGATATGCGGATTCGCCCCTCCTGCCACGGGCTGGGATTGTTTGCCTTCAAGTACAGACCACAGCTTTGGAGCTGATTTAGCGAGAATTAAATATTACCGCAATTCGATATATGGTCATGTGAACGAGAACATGGAAATAGCAGATGATGAGTTTTCAAGTCTTTGGAGAGAAATCAGCGAGGCTCTGGTGAGAATTGCGGGTCAAATCAGCCCTGCAAAGGCAAGAGAATGGAAGAATGTTATTGATACATACAAAGATGAGTTCAAAGGGAAAATAGAATCTATATCCCAAGAAGTGCAGCGTTTGAGGCAAGAGCTTCGAGATGAAGCCCAAGACATCAAAGATCGATTAAAAGTGGCTGGCCAAACCAATTCCTCAGCTGGAGGTCAGCTTATTGACTTTTTTCTGTATATCTGTTACAAATAATATATATATTTTTTTCTCCAACATAGCCGCCTACTTAACGTATCAGGGTTACCTGTACACTGCACGTTGTACACTTATTTTGACATAAAAGGCTGCGTATGTTTTTGAGGCGGGAAAAAAATGTTAATTAGTTATATATAGTTACTTGACTACAGCCGGGCGACAACTCATATTAATAGTCTGTTTTGCCTTTTTGTTAATGGTTAGTCGCTGCAATTAATGACACTTGTTCCCCTTGCAGTTACAATTCGAATACGGATTGATTGTGAGACCATCCCAGACCCTTATCCGGGATATGAGAAATTAGAGACAGTGGTTGTAGCCATGCAGGGTACCCAAGCTTGTGGCGACGAGCTGGTAGTTACTGGAGCGCCAGAAGGAACGTCTGAAGGCACACAAGATACCCAGGCCGAAAGCCACGAGATGGTAGTTACTGAAGTTAAGCGTAGGGCAGTGGAACCTGTTGCATCTGCTGGTCTACCACTCGCGGGAAGAACAGAAAGTGTCGAAGAAGCGAGGAGAAATAATTTTCAACGTCTGGCTCGGCTTTTGATAAGTGGAGGTACTCTGCTATTGAGGGAGGTATTTGACATCAAATGTCCCCCAAGTAATCTTCCTACAACACTTCAGAATCCAGCCACGAAGAAGCTACTTGAGGCAGCAAAGCTCAGCAAATCACAGAGGGACTGCCTGTACCCCTCTTCAGGGATGTATGGAAAGTCAACAGACTTTGATATGACTCTCCTTTTCCGGTTGCTGAGGACGATATGCGGATTCGCCCCTCCTGCCACGGGCTGGGATTGTTTACCTTCAAGTACAGACCACAGCTTTGGAGCTGATTTAGCGAGAATTAATTACTACCGCAATTCGATATATGGTCATGTGAACGAGAACATGGAAATAGCAGATGGTGAGTTTTCAAGTCTTTGGAGAGAAACCAGCGAGGCTCTGGAGAGAATTGCGGGTCATATCAGCCCTGCAAAGGCAAAAGAATGGCAGAATGCTATTGATACATTTTTAAAAGATCCCCTCACAGAGGAAGACAAGAGACATGAGCAGGAATTGCAGTGGTGGTACCAAAACGATAGAGAAGTAAAGAAAGACCTAGAAAAAGCAGAATCTTCAATGAAGCATTTGGAGAAAGGGGCTCAATACTTAAGACAAGTGGTTCGAGAAGAAGCCAAAGATATTAAAGATGAGCCCGGAGCGAAAGAAGAATCTATAGCCGAAGAAGTGCAGCGCTTAACACATGACATCAAAGATAAGCTTGGAGGGAAAGAAGAATCTACAGCCCAAGAAGTGCAACGCTTGAGGCAAGAGTTTCGAGATGAAGACCAAGACATCAAAGATCGATTAAACGCGGCTGGCCAAACCAATTCCTCAGCTGGAGGTCAGCTTGTTGATTTTTTTCTGTATATCTTTTACTAAAAGAATATTTTTTTCCTTGAACATAGCCACCTACGTTACGTATTAGGGTTACCTGTGCCATGCACACTGTACACTTATTTTGACATAAAAGGCCGCGTATATTTTTGAGGCGGGAAAAAAATGTCAATTAGTTATGTATAGTTACCTGACTACAGCCGGACGACAATTCATATTAATGGTCTGTTTTGCCTTTTTTGTTAATGGTTAGTCGCTACAATTAATGACATTTGTTCCCCTTACAGTTAGAATTCGAATGCAGATTGATTGTGGTAGCATCCCAGACCCTCATCCACGTACCCAAGCTTGTGACGACGAGCTGGTAATTACTGGAACGTAGGCAGAAAGCCAAGAGATGGTAGTTACTGAAGTTAAGTGTAAGGCAGTGGATCCTGTTTCATCTGCTAGTCTACCACTCGCGGGAAGAAGAGAAGAAGAAAAAGCAGGTGTTGGAAGCGATGATGTTGTACCCAACGCACAAAGTGTTATGAATTTTATCGCGCGCAAGTACTTTCAGACAATTGACACAGCCAAACCTGAGGAATTAAATGGTTTTCTACAGTATTTATCAGATGTGCGCAAAGTTCTGGTCTTGGATGCTCAACCAGGAAGTTTGATATTGACAACACTATGTAGTTCATTGGAGATACTGGATGCCCTGTGGTATGACTATTGCGCAGGTCACCTGAATAACATGGTACAGAAACATCTTTTGACAAAGGACGTTCTGAAGAAGTTTGACTCGACCGAGATGAAACTGACAATAACTATTGAGAGGGAGGAGTACATCAAAGCGCGAAAGGTTTTTCTTCAGGGTTCAGGTGAGCACATACAAAGTGTTTTGGAGAGCTGTCTTCAACCGAATTAATAGGGTATTGTCTTCGTCAGTGTTTCAAAAGGCTTGAAAGTTATGTTTTTTTAAGCTCCCTCAAGCATGTTTACAAATTTGTTGTTTCACCACATTCAGACAGGCACCATTCAAGAAATTTAATGATCAGAACTGATACTTGTGCTCTCATTACCATTGAATTAGAAGCTTTTGAAGCGAGTTTAGGGCTTGCTACTTTTCTGTTCTGTCCATTGTTCTTGACACTTGTCCATCGATTTTGTAATTGATTAGAGTCGACAATCACCAAGTTTTAACCTTTTCAATTGAAACACTTGACAGCAATTAAATTGAACGTTTGCTTAGACAACACGCTGACGCAACAATTTTCTGTTCTGCATATTGCTGTTCCCCAGCTGTTTGATGATGCTCGATACTTTTGGATTGAACCGAAAGTTTTGTATCAAAATCACATGTTCAATTATTTTTCTATTATATTATGAATGACTCAAATAAATGGTATTGATTGGTATTTTTTTAGTGAATCAATTGTTGTCCAAATTGCATCTACAGAACAGCAACTTCTGTTGCTACTGTGTCTTTTTTCATCCCCATGGTTGAATAAGTTATGTAAACTGGGATAAGTTCCACCAATGTGGGAAACTTGGCACGTTATGAGACACTACCTAACCTTTTAATGACACTACTTTTTCCAGAATTCCAAACTGGAGTTGCACTTGCTTCAGATGAAGATAAGGATAAAACAAACAACATTGTTGCGATGGCTATGGAGTTTGAAGCCAAGCACAGAGAATGTGTCCGTGTTTTAACCTACACATATAATGGTCATGTCAAGGTTAAGTTGTATGTGCTTTCTGGAAAGACTGGCATACCTGAAGCATTAAAAGCTGCTGCTCAAGATTATTTTAAGGAGATGAATGTGAAACTCGAATGGTTAGATCTCTACAGGGATGCAGATGAAATTCTCAAGATTAGACCTCTTGAGTATCCATCTGGTAAGCGAAAGGCGTTGAATGACTCTCAGGTGGATGACATTAACAAAGTTATTTCTGAAAATCTCCATGTTCTTGTCAGGCATCGTAACATCACTGCTGTGCAACCCTCACTTAAAATCAAAGATTCTAAGCAGACGGAAACCCCTTGTATCACATTGTATGTTCTATCTAAAGGTGTCATCCCAGATCGTGAAGGTCCCTTCCCACTCAAACTTGGTTCTTACCTAGTGGATGTTGTGGACGGAATGTGGTTCAGAACTGATGATCCTTGGCTGCCAAATGAAGCACAGGAACAAAATGATGTACTTTGTTTGGGAGCAAGTATTGGTGTACAAGGAGAGGATGCAGCCGGGACCTTAGGCGCCATCGTGAAAGGTGGTGAAACCTTTTATGCACTGTCCTGCGATCATGTTATGAGACATAGTACAGAGCTAGAGATAATTCATCCTGCACAGAATGATCATTTGAATTATCTAAATTACCATTTACAACAGTATGGAATGCGGATTAAGCACATCATTGACAAGGAAAGTTGCCACATACTGGCAAACCAGTTCTCATTTGGCCATATTGCGGGGCTGGAAGAATTGTCAAATAAATTTCAAGAGCTAAGAGGGATCAAAGAAACCCACCTACACCATGCAAGGGCGACAAAGAGGAAATTAGAGGCTGTAAAGCTGCATGAAGAAGCTTTTGAGAGAGGTTTGACACCACCCAGGGTCATAGCAAAATACTCTGTTGGCATCTCCAAAAATGTGCCTTGGAATGATGGTCAACAATACTACGTTGATGCTGCCCTGGCTGAGTTGACTCCAGAGGAAGTTGATAGTTTAAGACAGAGTCAAACGGCTGAAATGATTGAAACAGGAGATCACCTAAGTGGGGAATTTAGTTCAATACGAAAAGCCAGGGGGGAACTGTGCAAGAGCGGCCGAACCACAGGATTCACTAGGTCTGGTTGTCATGTGGAACCATCTATTTTTCTCCGTGCAAACTTTGGCAGAGTGAATGACCAAAATGACTCTTTGTTCAGTATTCGTAAAAATGTCAGACTGTGTCAAAGTTGTGGGGAAAGATCTGGAATTGGAGCGCAATTGGAGTCTACTGCCGCTCCTTGTGACTCTTGTGAAATAGACACACCCACTCTACGTGACAGTCTTTGGTTCAAGAACTGCTTATGCATAGACAATGAGTCTCATGTTGGTGAGGCAAAAGTTTTTGCCACTGAAGGAGATTCTGGAGCAGTACTCTTTGAAAGAAATAAAGATGGAAATCTTCAAGCTTTTGGCATTATTTTTGCCGAGCTTCGATGTTCATATAAACTAATGACTTTAGCCACACCAGTGCAAATTGCTCTTGAACGCTTATCCAGAAAGATTTCCAAGAATACCAACTTAACACTGCTTTCAAACTATGAGTGACTACGGATGCAAATTGAAACTTTAATTGATGTAGATATGCTTATTGTTGATCAAGGTTTGCACTCATGGATGTTTTTTTTTTCAGTGGGAGAGGGGAGGTTATACCTTTCAAATGCTAATGACAAATGCCGTCCCCACAGCTGTTTATATATATATATATATATATATATATATATATATATTATGAGAGGAAAAAAGGACGCAACTACATTTCCCGACAAGCCTGTTTCGTGAATCGCTTCACTCTTCAGGGGTTTAATGAAAGAATATTCATGTGACTATCGTTTATATACTAGGAAAATTTACATAATACGCGGTAAACCTAAAAACTTTAAAGCTCAGCTGTTGCGTAGCAACGCTTTGTTTCTGTGTCGGCATGAAGATACGAGTTCGTTACGCTTATTTAGTGATGAGAGGTCGGGTCGGTAAATTATCAGGAATTTTTCTTTTAGGCAGAGGTTGCATCTTTTACTGGAGCTGTTGTAGGGAGAGTTAGATGATAAGACGCGCCATGAAATAGAATAGTCAATGTTGTCGTTCTTGAGTGTCCAGATGTGTTTGCTAAGTTCGGTAGAGTTTTTGTGCTTGGCGTGGCGGAATGATGCGGTGTGATTTCTGTGTCTTGTTTTGAAGTCGGTTTCTGTGAGTCCAATGTATGTTTCAGAGGTGTTGTTGTTCCGTCACACGGGTTTATTCGGGTTTTCCTTCTAGTAAGTAGAAAAAAATGTATAAAAGCCACAGTAGTTTTTGGAATAGGTTTTGCTTGTTACTCGCTTTCATTGTACACCTGCACGTCGGTACTTTTGTTGACCATTATTAGTGAAATTTTAGGTAAAAATACGTGTTAATGGTCTTTCTGGAAAAATTGTTTCTCATGGTAGTTAGCAGCTGAGTTTATACTCGTAATTTTTAATTTCTAACATGCAATAGTTTCCCACACCAACCCTGCTTAGATAAGCAGAAATTTTTAATTGCTTTTCCACTTTTATTTCCTAAGCTGCTCCATATCAGAACTGTGAAATCTTACCCTAAGTTTCCTATTTTAGTGGCCTACAGTTTATTGTATTCGTCCTTTTAATTTTGAAATTCTTTTCGTCGTACAAATAGATGGAATATTTAAGTAGCTTTCGTTTAACTTCAGAGACATTTTCCGCTTCTTCGTGTCCTTATTCAAATATTGTAATTTGTGTAACAATAGCACCTCACACCAGTTAGTTCTTGAGCAAGTACCTTGAACAGCATTTACGATTACAAGTTAGCTTTGACTCTGGCATGATGTATGTTAGAGTGCTCTATGAATAAAAGTCCACTGTGGAACCAAATTGCTGCCTTATCCCTGACGTCCGTAAAAGCTCATTTGAAGTAGGTCACCGTGTACCAGGAAATCGTGACGAGTTTCCGTTCTCGTGAGCCGAGTGTCTCTACCGTGCTATTTTCCCGCTCGTCATTGTACGTTTCCCGCGAAGTCCAGTTTAGTGCGCGAAAACCTATCGTCACATCTCGGAAGAGGAAAACGCTATGTTGAACGATAATCGTCATTTTACTTGGTTGACAGGTTACGTGGTTTTTTTGTGAAAGTACATTTCAGTTTTCGAGAAATGATTTTTTTCCTTCGACCGCTCAAATATGCAAATTTTCACCATGAATATTACCCGAGTTGTGTGACCTCATGTAGTGAATTTACTTGACCTCCGGTATTTCTGTCAACATAATCATTTGTTTTATCATCTAAACTTAGTCCCCTGTCATTATTGAAGCTGGCAAAGAAATATTTATTTTTTAGTGAATATTTTTGTCCGACATACTTTTCTATGTCGGAAATTAGCACCAAAACAAAGAAAGTTTTAACAATGACCGATGTGACAGAATCTACTGAGCTTCTAGCTTTTAAAAGACAAAAGGATGGTTATAAAATTACTGTGAAAAATTTCCTGTGTATTTGTGTTGTTCTATCGTGAGACGAACTCAAAGTCCGGCAAAATTTACTTGCTAGCGACTATGAAATATACATGGTGTGCCTACTTGTCGCCACCGTTTACTGGCATAAATCACTACAATTTGTAAAAAATCTAACATAACACGCTTACCTTGTTTATTTATGATTTTATTAGCTGTTTCGATGATCAAGTTATGCTCTACCACATTTTAGCCAGATTTAAGTGGCAGTTTATAAATCTTCTCCACATTATTATATTAGTTGCATGAAAAGCGTGACACATAAATTCAAAGATGAATCAACCTCCGAATTACCAAGAGATGGTTTTTTTTCCCTCTTTGTATATCAATAAAAACCTTCCAAGAATTACTGTATTCAGAAAACTAAAAAATGTCCAGATCCATAAATGATTCTTAATTGATCTGTATGTAAGCGTCTCATCTTACATGCTGACATGGAGATTTGCTGTTCACTTAAATCGTTCGCTGGTGGGACTTTTGGGTATAGTTATCGAGAAGACCGACGTTGCATATCTCAGGTCGTTCCTTTGCGTAATTGTAAAAAAGACATTTCAAGTTACTTGCGGAGATCCAGAAACTGAAGTTGATCTTATTTTGTCGCGTACCGGCATCTTCAAGACGCCAAAAGATATCGATGATTTTAAAATTTGCCCCACTTGTAGATCAAATCTCGGTTGCGGGGTTGGGTGGAGTCGTGGTTCCATTAGTAGATGTAAAGTGCCTAGAGAAGTGTACGGTCATGGTAAAGGTAGGGTTATAATACGCAAGACGTCTGGAAAATTCATATAACCTGGCTTTATACCACCTTATGCAAAATTGCGCGTCCCGTCAGACTTAGTTCTCGATTGGGAATTGTTCAATAGGCTACCAAAGATCCAGACAGAGGCGGAGTTTTCTACACTAATGTCTGAACACTTTGTAGGCTTCCCGCCGTCTGGCGGGACGTGTAATTATGCACACAGTGGTAAAGGGCCCTTCCGCACTTACTATTAGACGCTGATAAAACTTTTTTCTCTTCCCTGAAAATCACATCAAAATTTGTCCTTGCTAAATTTCAAGTGTGCTACACGTATCAGCACCCCCCGGGGAGCCCCTATACATAAGAGGACGGGGATGCGCGCCAGGAATTTCGAAAATGTACCCGAGTCTCATCCGTGTGGGAGTGGCAACAACTGATATCTACCCCTAAAAAGCACCAATTTAAACACAAAATATTGGAAAATCCCAAAAATAAAGACTCCTTTAGCGATGTGCTCCAGAGGCTCAAGCCAGATGATGAAAATCGTTCTAGTAATGCTTATTTCAGGTATTTTATTGAGCGAAAAACACCCTAAAAGGTACTAGCTAGGTCTCTGGTAGTCCACTAAAGAGACACCGCAAAAGGTACTAGATCGCTGATTTTGACCTCTGACAGGTACGACAAGCACCCTCACCCATTTCCGATCGCCGACCAGGTATGACTGAAAATGGCACCTCGCTTTGATAAGAATCATTTTGTTGTTGCTTCTTACTTCCTGAAATTATCACTTGAGATTCGCTCGGTAATATAAAACAAAAAACAAAACAAAAAAACGCGAGTAATACCTATATATCCAAATTCTTTCATCACATAAAAAGTTACAGGACCTGATAGCATCTTAGGGACGGACCATTAGATTTGTGATTGGAAGGGGGGAGGGTGTTGGGCAATAACCCCCCAAAAAATGAACCACAGTGAACCACAGTGAGAACTGCTGGTTCTACCAGTAATTGTGTTATCCAATAAAGTCATTATCATTATTATTATTATTATTATTATTATTATTATTATTATTATTATTATTATAAATCGAGCACAGCCTTAATGGAAGAAAAAACATCGTGCAATTGGAAAAAGTCCCCCCAACTACAAAAATCTAATGGTCCTTCCCTAAGGTACCTTTTACATAATTCCAAAATAGGTTTCGTTCCGGTGTCCTATAGCGGATTTGGACCCCCTTCCGCAGATTTGGACCCCCCAACAGAACTTAGTGAAAACATCATCCTTAACGTTCTTGTAGAAATAGCTAAAACTTTTCGTTTCAGTGCGTACTAAAGTATCTTTTTGACTCGAAATATGCATATCGCCGATGCATACGAACTGGCAGCTAGAAATGACCCGTCGGATGTTTCTTTTGACCGAGGGAAAATGTGCAAGCATTTATTTCAATGTTCGGATAAAGGTCGTTTTTGAACCTTTTCCGCGATTGTCGAACACCGCTAGATTCAGTAAGAGACAAACTTACGACACTAATTTATTTTGTTATTGTAAAATGCCCAAGTGCTGAGACAACATGGTACAGTGCGAGTTCGTTATTTCAGGTCCCTCAACAGTTGATAATCGTTAAAATTAGAAAATAAGATTGAGTTCGATGAAATAGTCTCAACTTTTGTTAAGACGTAGACATTAATGTTGATTTGCATTTGAGAATAAGCTGAGAGTTCCAATAGCTCAGATCAGAAACATTTTTTCTTATCATAGGCTTTACGAACGACTTGTAGTAGGAGTTGTTGCTTCGTTCTTGTTCAAAAACTGTTAATGTTATTCAATTAGAAAATCAGACTGAGTTATCTTTGTGACTGGACGCAATAGTCACCACTATTGTTATGACGTTTCGTATCAATGTTGATTCGCATCAGAAGAAGCAAAGATTTATTGTTACCATTTGTTCGAATGCATTAGTTTGTTCGCATCGAATTCTTGTGTATACTGTACGACTCGCTATAATAAATGCGGCAGGATTAGAACGAAATGGATGTTTTTCTTTTCCTTTATTGAGGAATGTTGTGTTGTAATGGAAAAGAACATCGACAAAAAGCTCGCAAATAGAGTTAGTTTCCAAATATGATACAAACGATGCTTAAAAGGAAAGTTTGGTAGGAGGGTCCAAATCTGCGAAGGGAAGTCCATATCTGCTAGCGGATTTGGACCGGGGGTCACAAAATTCACAAGAATTTTTTTACAGTAACTTCATAACCATCCTTTTGTCTTTTAAAAGCTAGAAGCTCAGTAGATTCTGTCATATCAGCCATTGTCAAAACTGTCTTTGTTTTGGTGCTACTTTTCGACATAGAAAAAGTATGTCGGACAAAAATATTCACCAAAAAATAAACATTTCTTTGCCAGCTTCAATAGTGACAAGGGATTAAGTTTAGATGATAAAAAAACAAACATGTTGACAGAAATACCGGAGGTCAAGTAAATTCGTTACATAGGTAATAGTCGCGGTGAAAATTTGCATATTTGAGCGGTCGAACGAAAAAAATCATTTCTCGAAAACTAAAATATATTTTCACAAAAAAACTACACCATAATTATCAGGACATATTGGGCTACAAAAATTTTAAGTAGGAGTGAAAGCAAATTTTGGGTGACTTTCCGCTGTTTGTCTGATGCATGCATGTTGATATTAGCTCTTGATATCTGTTTCATTATGTATTTGATATTAATCGTGGGTTTTCTACCACCATTGATAATTGTTTACCTTTTCAAAGACTATTATTTGTGGTTATCATTATGTCATACTTTTTGGTTAAGTTGAAGATTATCTTATCAAGGGGGTATTTTCTGTAGTATTTTAATTTTTTTACTATTTTATGTTTATTATCATGGAAGCTACAAAATTCTTGTATTGGATCATAACCATCTATTTGTTCACAATTAATGCAAACAATCTCATGATCTCTGTTTCCCTGGCAATGTTCATCACAACATTCTATGTTTTTAACAGATTGTTCTTTTATTTGCTTACAACAAAAAGGGCATACTATATCATCCAATTCATCATGTTTTATTTTATTACAATACATTACTATATAATATCATGTAAATATTTCTTTATGCATTATTCTTGGCCTCTTTAAGTCCTCTCTTATATTGTCTAATACCTGTTTCGCTTCTGTCTGTAAAAATATCTTATATTACCTTGGTCATCATAATAAAATGCATTATTTTCCAATTTCCTATCGTCAATAAAACTACTATGATAACTCTCACCACTATCTGAGTAATCTTCTTGACTATCACACACATAATCATCATCTTGGCTGCTATGATAACTAGTATCATCTGAGTATTTTTCTTGAAAATCCATGTATACTATTACATTAGATAAAAAGAACTTCCTAACCCACAAAATACCTACATGAACATAAAAAAGTAGAGTTACCACTACAGGTGCTGTGGACGTTCATCATTTGTCCTGAATATCATTATTTTTTGCCTATGATGGCTCTTAATAAATGCATGAATTTTTGGCTTTACAGCACCTGTAATATCAAAATGTGAAGGTTAACTAGATGTATATCTGCCTGTAATTGGGCTTCACTTTTTCAATGAAACTTGATTGCTTTGTTTTAATATAGATTATTTCCATTGCCTAATGTTAATGACAAAACTGTGACAACAGTGTGTCACTTCATATACAGCTATGAAAGTGTTTTATATCTATGCAACAAGATTGAATGGTCATCTGGGAATTTGCACTTTTAATAGTTTCCAAAAAATCTACAACACTTTTTCTTGTTTGTAAAGCTAGGACTTGAAGTAAATGCTTTTCCACCTGTTAATCATTTTACATCGATTTTCTTTTGATGTCGCATAGTTTGAGTTTAGAATTTTTTTTCAAAAAATTAATGTAGCTTTTAAATTACTCTGTTTCCACATCTTTACTTAAGAAGTATAAAAAGGAATGAAAAGACGTTTCCTTGTTACTTTCAGTTATTTATATCCAGGGATAGTTTGAGCCTCTGGCTTGGACACCTTAGGTAACCTAGTCCCATGAATGGACAATGAAACGTATTGTATTGTATTGTATTGTATGATTACCCACCCTGGTGAAGTTATAATCTTGCACTTTATATTTGAAACTCTTGTATTTTAACCTTTGTTTATTACCAGCAGAATGAATCAGACCAATAGATACAATTTGATCTGACTTCCATAACAATAGGAAAAGTAATTTTAACTAATACTTAAATTTTAAACTGGATCTGACTCCAGCATAATATTAGAAAAACAAAATAAGATCTTATGTGTTAATACCTGAAACAAGTGTTTTCATCAAGAGATATTACATCTGCAAACATCTTCATAAACACAATGTATTAACCCTTTAACTCCCAAGATCTCATCGGTAATTCTCCTTATTGTCTGCCATATAGTTCTTGTGATGTTAGTTTGGAGAATTTGATATTGGATCAACTAAGAATCCCCTAATATTGATATTATATTGATATTGTAAGGAGAAATTCTGTTTTGGTCACTCATGGGAGTTAAAGGGTTAAAAAGTAAAGTGTCAATGTTATACTGATGTGACAGCAAAGACCTTAAGAAAAGTAATTGCTGGGCCAAGGTGTTGTAATTGATAGATATCAAATCTGCACACATCTAATTTGTAAACACAACTTATCAAAATCTTATATATCTGAAACAAATAGTGTCAGTGTCATATGTGACTGCAAAGTTCTCAAGAAACAGAAATTTCTGTGCCTAGGTGTTGTCATCCATAGATGTTACAACTGCACACATCTACTTTGTAAATTTATACAACAGTGCCAGTGCAACTTTCACTATATTCCAGTTCATAGTCAGTATCAAGCTCATTTACGATTGTAGGTAATTCTGTCTGTATTAAATAGGACTGTCTGGCTAATTGAGACAAACTTGAATACCACTGATTTCCAATATTCATTATTAGAATGAGGTCATTTGCTGAAATGATTCCTTGTTTGGTGTTATAAATCAAGCAGTACAAACTCATTGCAACACATTGTTGTCCACCATTTTTTCCAAAAAACCAATTCATTACCTTGGCTATATGGTGCTGGTACTGTTTTGCTGAGATCAACATACAGTGGGCGAGCGCCAGGGTTCTATAATATAACTATGGTTTTGCTACATGGGCTTGACTCTTGTAAAGAAACATAACTTTGTTACAACAAAACAGTGAGCAATACAGTCTACTTCAAGATTTTAAATTTATTAAACTTTTACGTATTTTCTCAAAGGATTTAAGCTTACGATTCCTAACCTTAATATAACAATGCATTTCGAAGATTTAGTGTACTCGAACAAATACATTAGAAAACAAATTCTCTAACCTTTGTGCTCTTGTTCCTGAGACATTGTAGAGTTCGTGCTGGAATACTATTTGGTTTACCATCACGTCTTAAAATAGGATGACGCTTCTGAAGATGCTTTTTATAAAGGTTAAGATTTGATAGCTCATTTTGTATAACATGATTCCCGATAGGTTAACTAAAATGTTCGCTCGTAAATTGATCTTTCGTACGGCATGCGGACCGATCCGTTCCAAATATACTCAACTTCTTTTCGTGTGGGTCTACGGCGAACGGCGTGTTCGTTTCTGTGTAATTTCAGCTCCTTTGAAGTCATGGAATCCTTCCTATGACCTTTCAAACAACAACTTCTCCTTACTATGTTCTCAGTTGCCCTATTCTACGCATGCGCCGAAGTGCTCATTCTTTGAACAATAAGGTCTTGAAACGACAATTTGTTGCCCTGTCATTTCTTCCCTTATGTTATCTATTTGAGGGGCTTTCCCCTGATTCGTTGTGAGCCCAAACGAATTTGCCTGCTTGACGACACTCAAAATACACAGATCGTAGTTCGATGTAGTTCGAAGGAAAAAATTCTAAAGGTAAGACGCTTCATTCTACATTTTCTCTGCATTAGCTAATCTCCAACTCTTCATTGAAATTTTTACTGAAGATCTGTTGAAGTCATGATAGCTTTTGTGACTGAGAAATCTATCGAATGAGTGCAATTTAAGTCACAGGCGGCTCAAGCTTACGTCTCTAAAAGAAGTCAACAATTAATTCATGACAGCGTCACGCGTTGTATGACTAAGTGCAAGTTAGGAACCGTTGAAAATTTGAACACGTTATAGGGAATAATTTGGGGAACGAAATATGGTCGATTCAAAACTATAAATATTTCGAAATATGAACATTTCACACTTTAAATCAGTCATCATCAAAGTAAACGGTCAGATAACAAGCAATACGCTGTGGAAGTAAGGTGAGGCATTTCTTTTGAGAATTTGACGTATTTCTTTATTCCTTGGAGCGGTCGTAAATATTCCCAAACAAATTATTATAATTCCGCCATGACTGTTATTGCGCAAGATGATCATGTCACAACTGGAGCTTGGGCTGCCTGTGACTAGACACGGCCGCGAAGGAGACTTGGGTACGAGGTCAATTTTCTCTCTACCGCGAGTGGTACGATCGATTAATGTTCAATACTTACCCTATCCCCAAAGAGACACCTCACCTTAATCTATTGTCCTGATCAACCAATCAGACAGCGAGGTTAAACTAAAACAGATAACCAATGGACAAAACCAGCGGGGTTTGTTTTGTGATCATTAAAGCTTGGATTATTTTTTTGAAAATTTGCCATTCTTTCCATTTTTTTATGATTTGCTTTGCGGTCAATTTCAACGCATCTCTTCCCCTCCGATAGCATTTTAGCAACAATTTTCTGTTCTGTTTATTGCTCTTCCGCAGCTGTTTGATGGTACTTGATACTTTTGGATTGAGCTGAAAGTCTTTTATCATGTGGTTTTGATTGATTTCCAATTATTTTTAATTATAATATGAATGACTCAAATAAATGGTCTTGATTTGTATTTTGTTTATGAATCATTTGTTTCCTGCCTACATCTACAGAACAGCAACAACTGTTACTACTGTGTCTTTTTTCATCCTCATGGGTGAATAAGTTATGTTAACTGGGATAAGTTCCACAAATGTGGAAAACTTGACCTGTTCTGAGACACTGTCTAACCTTTAAATGATATTACTTTTTCCAGAATTCCAAACTGGAGTTGTGCTTGCCTCAGATAAAGATTTTGCAGGAAGCCTTCTCTCACCCTTGGCTGCTGAGCATAACACAAACAACATTGTTGTTATGGCTATGGAGTTTGAAGCCAAGCACAGAGAATGTGTCCGTGTTCTAACATATACAAATAATGACCATGTCAAGGTTAAGTTGTATGTGTTTTCTGGAAAGTCTGGTATACCTGAAACATTAAAAGCTGCTGCTCAAGATTTCTTTAAGGAGATGGATGTGAAACTTGAGTGGTTTGATCTTTACAGGGATGCAGATGAAATTCTGAAGATAAGATCTCTTGAGTATTCATTTGGTATGCAGCAGGCATTGAATGACTCTCAAGTGAATGAAATGAACAAAATTATATCTGAAAATCTCCATGTTCTTGTCAGGCATCGTAACATCACTGCTGTGCAACCCTCACTTAAAATCACAAATTCTATGCAGATGGGAACCCCTTGTATCACATTGTATGTTCTATGTAAAGGTGTTATCCCAGATGGTGAATGTCCCTTCCCACTCAAACTTGGTTCTTACCCAGTGGATGTTGTGGACGGAATATGGTTCAGAACTTATGATCCTTGGCTGCCAAATAAATCACAGGAACAAGATGAGGTACTTTGTTTGGGAGCAAGTATTGGTGTCCAAGGACAGGATGCAGCTGGGACCTTAGGTGCCATTGTGAAAGATGATGAAACCTTCTATGTACTGTCTTGTGATCATGTTATGAAACATGGTACAAAGTCAGAGATAATTCATCCCGCACTGAAAGATCATTTGAATTATCTAAATTACCATTTACAACAGTATGGATTGTGGATTAGGCACATCATTGACAAGGAAAGTTGCCACATACTGGCAAATCAGTTCTCATTTGGCCATATTCCAGGGTTGAAAGAATTGTTTAATAAATTTCAAGAGCTAAAAGGGATTAAAGAAAACCACCAACACCATGCTAGGGTGACAAAGAGGAAATTAGAGGCTGTAGAGATGCATGAAAGAGCTTTTGAGAAAGGTTTGACACCACCCAGAGTCATAGCCAGATACTCTGTTGGTATCTCTGGTAATGTGACCTGGAATGATGGTCAGTATTACTACATTGATGCTGCCTTGGCTGAGTTGACTCCAGAAGAAGTTGATAGTTTAAGACAGAGTCAAACAGCTGAAATGATTGGAACAGGAGATCACCTAAGTGGGGAATGCAGTTCAAGACTAAAAGCCAGGGGGGAACTGTGCAAGAGTGGCCGAACCACAGGATTCACAAAGTCTGGTCATCATGTGCAACCATCAATGTTTCTCAGTGCTTCCGTATATGAAGTGAATGCCCAAAATGAGGGTTTGGTCAGTGTGTTGAAACGTGTCAGACTCTGTCAAAGTTGTAAGGAAAAATCTGGAATTGGAGAGCAATTGGTGTCTACTGCCACTGCTTGTGACTCTTGTAAAAAAGACACAGCCACTTTATGTAAAAGTCTTTGGTTAAAGAACTGCTTATGTATAGATCATCCATTTGGTCATGGTTATGCAAAAGTGTTTGCAACTGAAGGAGATTCTGGAGCAGTACTCTTTGAAAGAGATGAAGCTAGAAATCTTGAAGCTTTTGGCATTATCTTTGGCGAGCATCGAAATTCATATAAACTTTGTGCTTTAGCCACACCAATGCAAATTGCTCTTGAAAGCTTATCCAGAAAGATCTCCAAGGACACCAACTTGAGACTGCTTTCAAATTTTGAGTAAAAATGAAACTTTAATTGATGTATTTATGCTTATTGCTGATCAAAGTTTGTATTCGTGAATTTTTTTTTCAGTGGGGGAGGGGAGGTTACACCTTTCAAATGCTAAGGACAAATGCCATCCCCATTTCAAGAAACCGTCACCACAACTGTACATATACATGTAAAGAAGAAGAAAAAAGTTACAATGAACTTGAAAAATTTGTTGATCTTAGAAAAATGGACCCCATTGGTTCCCGGTATTTCTTCGGAGATATCGCCGAGATCTAGTCGAAATCTCGGAAGAAAAATGCTGCATTGAGCGATAATCATTGTATTACTTTTGAACAGATTTTGTGGTAAAGTTGAGATTACAACAACTTTTTTTTATAACAACTTTATTTAAATCATAACATACAGAATATATTATTTTTAAAAAAGGATCATAGAAGGGAGAAACTTAATCCTCTTTGTAAACTATACCCCAAATGTAAATATTTAATACTATGCAATATACATGTACACACTGAAACATTTTACATACAAGCATATATTTATATAAGTATAAAATCTAAGTAAAGAAGACATATCTAAGATAAAAATTCTGTTGAAACGATGAATAATTAAATGATGTATAATATATAGAATAATTTAATTTTGTACTTATAGGCCGAGTTAAATAATATTGATTTTAGAGCCTTCTTAACAGTATTCATTGAGTTAAGTTCAACTACTGATGACGGTAAACTGTTCCATGTGTCAATATATCCGTACCAAATTGCGTTGACCAACGATTATTACAAAATTGCTACAGTCCTTATTAAGAAAACGAGTAGGTCGCCTTGGTTACTAAACGCTGCAGTACCTTTTACAAATTGTGTAAGCCCTTACAAAATGCTGCTACCGATATCACAAAATGCGTCGTTTTTACAAAATTATGAAATATCGCTGCATAGCGCGATCGTAAATCATTAGTGGTTTTGTATTTGTTAACTAGGTGACGAGAAGAAGTTGACGTGAAGTGTCATCAACCTCGCGCCTTCTCTTCTGCTCTCAAATCACGTTTTGCTTTATATCTCCAAAAGTGAAAAAGATACCAAAATAAAAATTTTGGAAAATTTTAGATCTTTGTGTTTATTTAGCAGGAATAAAATAATAATTTTCAGGAAATTGAAAAAAAGTAACATTATTTCCCTTCTGTGATACGTTAATAACCTTGTAACTGCTTCATCTGAGCGTTGCATTGCACGGGGAGAGGGTCATTGGAAAATCTCTATCCTTACTACTACATGCGAATTATTAATAGCGATTAGACGAACCCTCAGTGTCCAACCTTTCCAAGTGTATACAGAAGTAACGATGCAGTTCGTGTTAACCTTTTCTTTCCCTAAAAGTGACAAGCATCTAATTTCTCCTTGCTGTATCACCCCTTAAAAACATCGTGATGAAGGTCACGAGAATAAAGGAAAAAAATTCACCTCATCAACACCTTAGGAAATGTACAGGAAACAGTATGGAGAATATGCCTACTGATGTTGGGGTACTAAGGCAGTTAATTAAATACCATGGATGATCTTATACTGTCACGTATTCAGTGATGAAACAAACATGGTCAATGTATATAGTACCACGCCCTTTCCTTTACTACCCAGTCAATCTTCTCCTTGAGGAGACTTTGTATTTATGGACCAAGATTCTGTTAACAGTTCTAACCGTTTCTTAATTTGCTCAGAGACAGCGCTTACGAATTCAACGTCTCTTTCGATGCAGAAATCTTGCTGAAATTTGAATCATCGTCTGTGAAACTGATGGTTATTCACTCGTTCTTGTAAAATGGCGGTCGCTCCAAAACCAAATGAAATACCCCGTTTGACGAATGGTAGAGGTAATCTCTATCGTGTTTCTCGACTGTTAATCAGAGGAGGAGCCGAACTTTTGGCAGCAGGTGTCCACCAGTTTCTCTTCCACCAATATTGAAAAATCAAGCTATAAAAAAGCTGCTCAAAGCAGCAAAACCACAGCGGGACTGTCTAGATTCCTCCCCAGGGGCGTACGGCAAATCAAAAGATTTTGATGTCACTCTCCCCTTCTGATTTCTGAGGACGATTTGCAGCCTCATCCCTCCCGTCACAGGGTGGGATACTCAACCGTTGAATACAGATCACAGTTTGGAAGCAGTGTATGATCATGTGAAGTCTGATATATAGATAGCAGATGACTTCCAGTTCTTATTTTTGTGGCGTGAAATCAGCGAAGCCCTTGTAACAACTGCAGGCAAAATCCACCCTTCAAAGAGGCATGACTGGCAGGCAATCATTGATAAGTTCTTGGACGATCTCCTTAATCAGAGGATGAAAGATAGGTACAGGAACTGTTCGACTGGTATAAACAGGATGTGAAAGTAAATAAATCCGTGGAAGACCTTCAAGTAATCACTTTTCATATATTAGAGGAACTACGAAGTTGAAGGGAAGTCACCAGCGATTCAGGCAATCAATGAAAACACGGAAGACCTCAGAAGTGCAGTTGGAGCGATTTAAGTTGACTGGGGGAGATACTGAAAGAGATTAGAAGTCGTAGCGCCTCATTCGGTCTGTCTATTGAAGGTCAGTTTCTTCTCCACCGCTTATCGCGTTGACAGTCTGTACCACTGAGGGGGCACCATCTCCACGCAGCAACATATTGATGTGTTTTTTAAAAAAGAGTTACAAAAACCTGCAACACTGCTGTCCGTATTTCGTTGGAATTGATGCATGCGACACACTTGCCCCATTATCGTCCTCTTTGCTATGAAGTACACTTTATGAGCGTGAATTCGATGATACTGCTTTCAAAAAGAGAGAGAGAGAGAGAGAGGAAAGAAAGCATGGTACTACTTCGGCTGTTTTTGAAGTTAAGATGAAAGCAATTACAACCACCCAGCCCGGGGCGATTATGGCACGATATGAAGCATCATTGACCAATCAGAACACGTCATTCTGCACAATCATTGTAAGATCGTTAATGCATATATATATTGTTAGCCTATTGTTTCCTATATGGGGCAGTGGAATGCGCCTATACGCGTGTATTATTTAGGATATTTAATGTTCAGAGCTGATACTTGTGAAAGTGCTGTCTTAGTTTGGTCGAGAATGGTGATTGAGGCAGTTGGAGGTGGCCTTGAAGCGACAGATTTAGCTAACGTGGGCTTGAAATAGTAAATATACTGACAGTTCCATAGGTAAGAGTATTATGGTCTCGATGTGATTTTAAATTAAAAGCTAATTTCTTTGAGTAAACAGCAGAGATATATATGGTCATCCGTCTGAGAAATATGTTTTGTAGACCTGAGAGAGAAGGATATTTTTGTGACTTCTTAATTGGGTTTCACTACCCTCATACTGATGGATAAGTTCGTACAAGGAGTAACTTAAACAAATAAAAAAACACTTTAGAAAGAAAGGAATGTAATTGAGATTGATGAAGCTTACTGCGATCAATCACTCAGCTTATTTATTTGGGTTAAGAAGTAGGAATAGGTTACAGCGCTAATCTTGAATTCAGATCGTGGTCCACTTGGCATGAAAAGAAGCAGAAGTATGGGAATCGGCCAAGAATTGACATCCTGTGAAAAGCCTCAGAATATCGCACCAGGAACACTAGCAAAAGGCTCAGTTTGCTTACCAATTGCCTTACTTTTCATCCACGCAAATGTCATTGTCAAAAGGCACAAGGCCATCTTTCATATGTTTCAACTGAATCACGGTTGTTTGTTTCTGTTTGTATCCGTGTGTATGAGCGTAAAAAATTAGTGAGTTCAGAGGTCACCAATCGAGACGATTAGCATTCAGAGGAACTCAGTTCAGAGGAAGATGTTCCGGAAGAGATCATTGTAGAAGACAGCTGTTCAAAGCATTCTAATAGATCACGGCCTTATCCTGTTTTTATTGATTCAATTCGCTTTAATGTCAATGGCTTGTACAAGAATGTCTCTGGTATGATTCTCGTGATTTTCCGTGATCGAAAGCCAGAAATAAACCATTAACGATACTACATCGCGCATGTGACGATAGAATCAAAAAAGGAAAATAAATTAGTGTTTTTCTGAAGGGCTCCATTCTTTGAACAAAATAAGAGTAGCAATTGCATGTCCAGAAGTCTTGAAAAGGATAAACTGACCTAAGGAAGACAATTCGATGCCCTACCATCCCTGTCCATATGTAATTTTTTTGTTGAGCTTTTCCATGTTACATTGCGAACCCATTCACTTCCGCTTCTCACGGGTCTGAGAACAAATTTGCATGTCTGACAACGTTAAAGTTCGATGTAGCTCGAAAGGAAAAAACTCTAAAGGTAAGAAGCTTAATGTGACATTTTTCTGCATGAGCTAATCTCCCACTCTTCATTTAAAGTTTGACTGAAGATCTGTTGAAGTTATAGCTTTTGTGATTGAGAAATCAGTCAAGTGAGCGCAATTCAAGTGAGTGACGTATTTGAACCAGCTCCCATAGGAAATCTCAGAGATTTTCATTAGTTTGGAATCTCTAAGAAATATCGTTTGCGATACTTGAAGGATGATTTACTGGCAAACCAGCTCAATCAGAATATTACTAGTATTTTAAGCCTCGCTCAGTTCCTGTTCGGTTGAAATTTAGGTTGAAGTCGATCAATTAACTCCTTTACAGATAATGAGCATAGCAGCCAGCGCGTCCTTATCTTGTTATCATTACCCTGCTCCAGCAAGTATAAAAAAATTGTTTTTGATAAGTGATGCATCATACATAATTACCTCGGGAGAGAATGATGAAATTTGTGTATCTACTCCCGTAAATCATAGGGAGTAAATGAAGTGGGTGGCGATCAACCATGTCGATCGTGACTGCTAAACGGTTTTCTTTCTTGTGTCACGCAATGTACCACACAGTCTAGCGAGCCTAGTTTTCCTTCTTTGAGCAAACGTATTTCAAGTCTCTTGTGACTGAACAATGTATTCAAGTCTTTAAATAGAGTCTTTTGATAACCAGGTGAAACTCAGAACCTAAATAGCTGTCTTAGTGCTAAACTTTCTCATCTTTAATTTATTTATGGTATAAAAAAATAGATAAAAAGTAAACGGACATCAGGCTTCTGAGTCATTTGCGTTTTTAAGTTTTCATCAGCGCTGCCGTAAACTGAAAAGCTTAAAAAGGAGAAGGATTATAAACTTTTTGTGCGAACTATCCTTAAATGTGATTTAAATAAGGACGTAGGTCTGGAGATTTCAAGTCATTTGTTCGACCCGCTATAAATATATGTCGCTTTTGTTAAAGGGACTAAGATCAGAGTATTTCAGGTATTTTTGTATAATTTCTCTTCTTAGATAGGCTTCAGAAAAGCGCATGTGAGTTGTTGAATACCAATTCCGTGCCAGCAAAATCATACCCACATAATGTGGAATGAAAATGTCTAAGTATTATTAAAAGCAATCCGTTTTGATCCTCTCCTCTTAAATCATCCATCTAACCTATTTATGCAGGGACGATTTATATTAGCCATATCTGTCTTCTGTGAGATTAATCATTCATTCCATTGATCTTTTTCACAGTTTGGGTTGCAGTCATGAGGTAAGGAAGGTCTGGTAACTGATCCTGCCTCAGTTTTTCCTTCTTTAAAAATGGCAGCCGCTCCGGACCCAGATGAGGTGTTTCGTTCTTCGAAAGGGAGAGATAATTTTCAACGTTTGGCTCGGCTTTTAATAAGTGGAGGTACTGTGCTATTGAGGGAGGTTTTTGACGTTAAATGTCCACCAAGTAATCTACCCGCAACACTTCAGAATCCAGCCACAGAAAAGCTCCTTAAGGCAGCAAAGCTCACCAAACCACAGTGGGACTGCCTATACCCTTCTGCAGGGACGTATGGAAAGTCAACAGACTTTGATATAACTCTCCTTTTCCGGTTGCTGAGGACAATATGCGGCCTCACCCCTCCTGTCATGGGCTGGGATTGTTTTCCTTTAAATACAGACCACAGCTTTGGAGCTGATTTAGCGAGAATTAAGTATTACCGCAATTCGATACACGGCCATGTGAACGAGAACATGGAATTAGCAGGTAATGAGTTGTCACGTCTTTGGAGAGAAATCAGCGAGGCTCTGGTGAGAATTGCGGGTCAAATCAGCCCTGCGAAGTCAAAAGAATGGAAGACTGCTATTGATAAATTTTTAAAAGATCCCCTTACAGAGGAAGACAAGAGGCACGAGCAGGAACTGCAGCGCTGGTACCAGAATGATACAGAAGTAAAGAAATACCTTGAAAAGGTTGAATCTTCAATGAAGCATTTGGAGAAAGAAGCTCGATCCTTAAGACAAGAGGTTCAAGAAAAAGCCCAAGATATTAAAGATGAGCTTGGAGGGAAAGTAGAATCTGCAGCCCAACAAGTGCAGCACTTGAGGCAAGACGTCAAAGACATCAAAGATCGATTAGACATAGATGGCCGACCCAATTCCTCAGCTGGAGGTCAGCTTGTTGATTTATTCTGTATATCTGTTATTAGTAAGGTATTTTCCTCTAACATAGACACTTACGCAACGTATCAGGGTTACCTGTACGGTGCACATCGTGCTCTTATTTTGACAGAAATGGCCTGGTATATTTTTGAAGCATAAAAAAAATTTCAATTAGTTAATATATAGTTACTTGACTTTAGCCGGACGACCACTCATGTTAATAGCCTGCTTTGCCTTTGTTGTAAGTGGCTAGTCGCTGCAAATAATGATACTTTTTCCCCTTACAGTTAAAATTCGAGTGCAGATTTGTTGTGCGACTAACCCAAACCCTCATTCGCGACTTGAGACATCAGAGACAGTGGTTATAACCGGTCAGGGTACCCAAGCTTGTGGCGACGAGCTGGTAATTACTGGAACATCAGGAAGAACGCCTCAAGACACACAAGATACCCAGGGAGGAAGCCATGAGATGGTAGTTACTAGTGGTACGCGCGAGGCAGTGGAACCTGTTGCATCTGCTGGTCTACCACTCGCGGGAAGAACAGAAAGCGTCGAAGAAGTAGGTGTTGGAACCGATGCAGCACGCAACGCACAAGGAGTTTTGAATTACATCGCACACAGGTACTTTCAGACAGTTGACACAACCCAACCTGAGGAACGGAATGAGTTTCTACGGTATCTAGAAGATGTGCGCAAAGTTCTTGTCCTGGATCCCAAGTCAGGAAGTTTGATAGTAACAGTACTGTGTACTTCACTGGAGATACTGGATGCCCTCTGGTGTGACTATTGCACAGGTCACCTGAATGACATGGCACAGAAATATCTTGTGACAAAGGACGTTCTGAAGGAGTTTGACCTGATTGAGCTGAAATTGAAAACAACAATTCAGGTGGAGGAGTACATGGCTGCACGAGATTTTTTCCTGCAGGCTCCAGGTGAGCACATACAAAGTTTTTCGGAAGGTTGTCTTTAATCGAGTCAATAGAGTATCGTCTTCGTCTATGCTTTAAAACATGTGAGCATAGGTTTGCTCGTTATGTTTTTTGCATGCCTCCTCAAACATGTTCACAAATTTGTTTCACCAGATTCAGAGGGTATGATTCAAAAAATTTAATGGCCAGATCTGATACCTGTGCTCTCTCTATTTAATCGAAAGATGGGGATCGACGATGAATTGAGGTGACGCAGAGAAGACCTTACGGCGACCTTTTGACATTTTATAGGAAACTGATCTTAACATACACATTCCTAATTAAAGAGAAGGTCTTCGTTGCACGACCCGTAGTCAAGTTTAAATTGTATCCGTTACATTTCATTTCAGTCCATGATCCACTCGGCACGACCAAGAACAGAAATGAAGGACTTGACTCAGATTTGACAATAGAGCAAAGTCCTCTCTCAGCGACTGAAGGAACAGTCCCACATGTTGAATCTGAAACTAAGCGAAACAAAGAAGCATTCTCGGAGGGTTCCCTTATCGCCGGGGAAATGATGGTGGACCGCTCTGGTCGTAAGACTCCTGCATCTGTCGCGAGGTCATCAGTCCATGGTAGCATGCAAATCTATGTTAAAACATTGACTGGAAATACGATTTCTTTGTGCGTGAAACCTTTAAGTACCATAGCATATGTGAAAATTAAAATCCTAGAGCATGAAGGAATCCCGCCGGACCAGCAACGTCTTCTCTTTGCCGGGAAACCACTCAAAAGTGGCTTCTCTCTGAGTTACTACAATATTTCGAAAGAATGTACCCTAAACTTGGATCTCTGTGGCAGAAATATCTATGCACATAATCTCAATTTAGGGCACTGTTCATATTAATGTTTGCCACCCAAGAGAATAATGTACTGCTCATAAGAGTTAACAATTACCTTTGCTGATAGTTAAAATTGGTTAACTTTATATTTTTTTTTCTTAGTTTCAGATTAATTTTCAAATTGTTTTGCCAACAAAACACATCTTTTATTTTCAATTTCAAGTCCAGGGTCAATTCGTGGCCGGGGTGATGCTAAAAAAAATTATGAAGAAGACATTTCACTCCTACACTGTCTCTTTGTGTCTAAGGAGTGTAAATGAATTCCAACATACTATTAGGAAATTTGAAGAAATGCTGTTAGGGGGGTGGGGGGGGGAGGGGAAGGGGGGAAGGGTAAGTGTGATGCAATAGCATTCTATTTAGTAGGATTTGCTTCCATTTGCTTTTTTGCTGTAGAAACTATGTGGGTTTGAGACAGGACACTTAGACCGTTCCGTCTTGGAATAAAAACCAAAAATAAAAAGTAAGAGCAACTTCAATTGGTGGAAGCTCTCTTTGACCCTTGGTTAAGCCTAAAACATGCAACTTTGTTATGATAACTATGGGGTTTGATTCCAAGCACAAGGATTGGGTACTAGTATTATCATACCTAGAATATGTCTGTGCTGACGATACAGCGGCAAAACGAAGGCGCATGCTTGTAACTCGCGAGAAAGTTACGCGTGCAAAGGAATGGGAACGACAATACTTCCATAGTAACACTACCGAGGTAAAATGGCGGCATTTTTAAAATTTCTATTGTTTGTTCTTATTTCGTGGGGATAAGCCCAAACCAAAACAAAAAAGGTTGCCTTCTCCAGGAAAGTTTCTGTCGACCCTCCTTCGTCACATATCTCTCTCAACAAAGACGTATTGTGGTTACAGGTGCGCATTTAATGGCTGAAGTTGAGCAGCCGTAACATGGCTACGCATCAGCCTATGTTTGCAGAAGAATCATAGCCTAGACGCTCAATGCATGTGCACTCATTTTGCTGCTGTGTTCGTGCTGACGAAAAACGACTGAACATGCTCTTACGCCTCTGGCGTCATGACTCCCGCCATTCGATATTCCTAATGAGTTGTTATGTAAGTATTATTTGTCCTCATTCTAGGGACCAGGAGAAAACTGCATAGCTGTAGGAAACTTTATTTTTATAACCGGAATTAAAAAGTGTCCATAAACATTTACCACTCTCCTCTTTTGACTCCCGAGTGTAATTTGAAAATGGTCTCCAAAATTGCCAAAAATCGACTATTGACGCCGCCTCTCAAAACGCGGTCGGTGTCATAATTTCCATGTATACTAATTCATAGCGGGGAAGACTAATATTTACCGGCAAGCAACTCTGAATATGGCCGCTATTTGATAGAATACACCATTCAGAAAGAATCGGCCAAAAACTTGTCTGTGAAAAACACCCGAAGAGAAAAAAACCCTGTTCGTTTCTAACAACGTCGTGTTCTTTGTAGCTGCATGTGAATTTTCGGGTTTAATTGTTAATCCGTGCGAGCTCTTAGCTGAGAAATGGCAACTGGTACGGGTACCAATCGAGGGAGTTTTACCTACAACAAGTGGAAAAAGCAATTTTCTTCCTATAGAGCGGCTTTTAACAATCCAGCCATGAAGAATAAACTTAAAATAGCAAAGCTCACAAAACTGGAAACCATAAGCACGAGACTCTGTAACAAATTCATCAACGTGCGACTGCATCGAGCTGGTTCCGTTCTTTTCCACACACTCAGCGAGGGTGGTGTCATCCACATACATCCAGATGTTCGTATTCGCCACTCTCAGGTCATTAATCATTATTAGAAATGACCGGGGGCCGAGTTTAGTCCCCTGAGGAACTCCTGCTGGTACAGCACGCCATTCCGATACACAACCACAACTCAATTTCACCCTTTGCCTTCTATTCGTTAGAAAATCCAAGATCCAGCACATGATCGATTCCGGAATGTCATACGAGGAGAGCTTTTGGGCTAGAACATGATGATCAATTAAGTCAAAGGCTTTGCGAAAGTCAAACAGTACGGGTCTCGTAGTAGCCCCATTTCCGTCAGTCGATTCCAACCAGGAGTGCAACATACTGATAAGCGCATGCGTAGTAGAAGATTTAATACGGCCCCAAATTGTTGAGTATAAATTCTCTCCAGCACAGCAGGTTTGACATAAGTGTCAACCACATAAGCTTCAGACATCTTTGACAAAATGGGGGTTAGTGAAATAGGGCGTAAGTGCTTGTTTACTTCACGGACAGGCTTTTGCTTTAGCACAGAGACTACATATGCGTGCTTCCATGACGATGGCAAGCGTCCTTCATGGGACGAGGAGTTCAAGATGTTAGATACCGTACCAGCTAAAATGTCTGCGTGTTCCTTTAACAACCATCCTGGGATGTTGTCTGAACCGTTGGCTTTGCACGGGTTCAACTTTGATAGTTTCTTGCGGACTGACTCAACCGACACAACAAGGGAGTTTTCGAAGTAGTTACTGAAAGTAGTGCACAAAAAAGCAGCAGGAAGCGGTGTGAAGCAGTGCATTGGCGATAAGAAAGCCTCATTGATGATGTTAGCCAGGCCGATTTGGTCAATACCCTCATGCAGATGTTGTAGCGATTTCAAAGTGTCACTTCGCGCCGTGGAGGCAACTGAGCGCCCACTAAGCTCTTTCACTTCTTTCTACCACTCAGATGGTTTACATTTAAGGCCGTTGACCAATTTGTTGTTTTACCAGATTCAGATGGGTATTATTTAGGACATTTAGTGTTCAGAGCTAATACTTGTAAATGTGCTGTCTTAATTTGGTCGAGGGATGGTGATTGAGGCAGTTGGAGGGGGCCTGGGGGCCACAGTTCTAGGCAACTGATCGAATTCCTTCATCTAATGGTGGCTTTAGTAAATATACTGACAGGTCGATAGATAAAGAGTATTGACAAACCTATATGGTCTCGATGTGATTTTAAATTAAAAAATAATTTCTTTCAGTAACCAGCAGAGATATATATATATATGGTGATCCGTCTGAGAAATATATTTTGTAGACCCGAGAGAGAAGGATATTTTTGTTTCCTCTTAATTGGGTTACATTACCCTCATACTGATGGATAAGTTCGTACAAGGAGTAACTAAAACAAATAAAAACACTTTAGGAAGAAAGGAATGTAACTGAGATTGATGAGACTTACTGTGATGAATCACTCAGTTCATTTATTTGGGTTAAGACGTAGGAATAGATTACAGCGTTAATCTTGAATTAGGTCGATATAATTTAATTTTTTTCATATTTCCTTTCAGATCATGTTCCACGTGGCATGAAAAGAAGCAGAAGTATGGGAATCGGCCAAGAATCGATAACCTGTGAAAAGCTCCAGAATATCGCACCAGGAACGCTAGCGAAAGGTTCAGTTTGCTTACCAATCGCCTTACATGATATAACGCCACCTTTCATATATTCCAACTGAATTATCGTTGTTTGTTTCTGTTTATGCACGCGTGTGTGAGCGTAATAAATGAGTGAGTTCAGAGGTCACCAATCGAGATGATTACCATTCAGAGGAACTCAGCTCAGAGAAGGATATTCCGGAAGAGATCACTGTAGAAGACAACTGTTCAGAGCATTCTAATAGAGACGTAAGGAATGTAGGTTCAAAGAATAACAGTTTAGAGGACTATTTCTCGCAGGATAAGGGTCAGAGGACGCCATTCCAGACGAAGGAATTGTAAGAGTGAAAAGACCAGAGAAAAATATTGAAGGATATTACATTGACTAAGGTAACATTCCAATAAAAGCATTACCCGATAAGATTAAGAAAGATGGGAATGACCCCAAGGTGTTAACTGCTGGAGATAACCCTGATACAATCATAGCAGGCGCAGGAGAGTTTATAAAGAGATTTACTGCATAGAGGGACATCTCAGGAGGTAATGTAGACGACGATATTCCAGAAGTAAATGCATGGAGTAACATCGCCGACAAACACTATAAGAGGACTATAAGACTCAAGGAGATATTACAGACCGTTGCGATGTAAATGATTGAGGCTTTTTCAAAAATGTTTTTTTTTGTATTACAAAAAGACATTTACGACATATCTGATAGCTAGATAGCTAGAGATCTTAAAAACACGTAAATATAAAAAGAAACACTATTAAAACATGACGTTTTCCCTAGCGTGGAAACAAATGTACTACCGAAGTATTTCGCTTTCTATATTCTATGGTGGCGATGTATATTATCAACTCAGTTGATCATCTTGTAATACCTCCTCCCCCCCTCTATGATACGCTGCGAACCCATTGACTTCCGCTTTTCACGGTTGAGAGAGGGAATTTGCATATCTGCCAACGCTAAAGAATCACAGACCGTAGTTTGATGTAAATCGAAGGAAAAAATTCTAAAGGTAAGAAGCCTGTTTGACATTTTCTCTGCATTAGCTAATCTCCCAACTCTTAATTTTAAGGTTTGCTGAAGATCTGTTGAAGTGATTGCTTTTGTGATTGAGAAATCTGTCCAATGAGCGTAATTTAAGTGAGTGGCGTGTATGAACCAGCTTCCAAATGCAAATCTGAGAGATTTTCATTAGTTTCGAATCTCTATGAAATGTCGTTTGAGATACTTGAAGGATGACTGACTAGCAAACCAGCTCAGTCAGAATATTACTATTATTTTGAGCCTCTCTCCTTTGGTACCTATTCGGTTAAAATTTAGGTTGAAGTCGATCAATTAATTCCCCCTCAGAGAATGATCAGAGCGGCCGGCGTGTCGTTATTTCATTATCATTACCCCGCTCCAGCGAATAGATGATACTCTTTGTTTTGATAAGTAAGGCATCACCTCAGGAGAGAATGATGATATAAAATTTGTGTATCTACTCCTGTAAATCATAGGGAGTAAATGAAGTGGGTGACTATCAACCACGTCGTGACTGCTAAGTGTTTTCTTCCTTGTGTCACGCAATGTACTACACATTCTAGCCCGCCTAGTTTCCCTTCTTTGAGCAAATGTTTTTAAAGTCTTTTGTAATTGAATCATGTTTTCACCTCCTTAAACAGACTCTTTTGACAACCAGGTGAAACTGGGAACCTATATAGCCGTATTAATGCTGAACTTCCCAAACTTCTATTTATTTTTGTTAAAGAAAATAAATAAAAAGTAAATGGAAATTAGGCTTCACAGTTATTTACGTATTTAGTTTTCCTAGGTGCTGTCGTAAACTGAAAAGCTTGAAAAGTAGAGGATAATAAACTTTTTGCGCGAACTGTCTTTAAATGTGATTTGAATAAGGGTGCAGGTCTCGAGATTTCAAATTACTCGTTCGACCCACTATATATGTCGCTTTTGCTAAAGGGGTTAAGATCAGAGTATTTAGGGTATTTTTTTACAATTTCTCTTTTCATTTAAGCTTAAGAAAAACGCATCTAAGTTGTTGAACACTGATTCCTTGCCAGAAAAATCATACCCACATAACGTGGAATGAAAATGTCTAAGTATTATTGAAAAAAATCCGTTTTGATCCTCTCCTCTTAAATCATCCATCCATCCTATTTAAGCGGGTACGTTTTATATTAGCTATATCTGTCTTTTGTGAGATCTACCGTTCACTCCGTTGATCTATTTCACAGTTTGGGTTGCAGTCATGAGGTAAGGACGGTCCGATAACTGATCCCGCCTCAGTTTTTCCTTCTTTCTAAATGGCTGCCGCTCTGGACCCAGATGAGGTGCTTCGTTCTTCGTTCTTCGAAAGGGAGAGATAATTATCAGCGTCTAGCTCGGCTTTTGATAAGTGGCGGCACTGTACTGTTGAGGGAGGCATTTGACATCAAATGTCCACCAAGTAATCTTTCCACAACACTTCAGAATCCAGCCACGAAGAGGCTACTTAAGGCAGCAAGGCTCACCAAACCACAATGGGACTGCCTGTACCCTTCCCCAGGGATGTACGGAAAGTCAACAGACTTTGATATAACTCTCCTTTTCCGGTTGTTGAGGACAATATGCGGCCTTGTTCCTCCTGTCACGGGCTGGGATGCGCTACCGACAAGTACAGATGACAGTTTAGAAGCAGATTTAGCTAGAATCAAATATTACCGCAATTCGATATATGGTCATGTGAACGAGAACATGGAAATCTCAGATGACGAGTTTTCAGTTCTTTGGAGAGAACTCAGCGGGGCTCTGGTGAGAGTTGCGGGTCAAATCAGCCCTGCAAAGGCAAAGGAATGGCAGAATGCTATTGATACATTTTTAAGAGATCCCCTCACAGAGGAAGAAAAGAGAAATGAGCAGGAATTGCAGCGCTGGTACCAGAATGATACAGAAGTAAAGAAATACCTGGAAAAGGTAGAATCTTCAATGAAGCATTTGGAGAAAGAAGCTCAATACGTAAGACAAAAGGTTCGAGAAGAAGCCCAAGATACTAAAGATGAAGTGCAACGCTTAGGACAAGACATCAAAGATGAGCTCGGTGGGAAAGTAGAATCTACAGCCCAAGAAGTGCAACGCTTAGGACAAGACATCAAAGATGAGCTCGGAGGGAAGGTAGAATCTACAGCCCAAGAAGTGCAACGCTTCGGACAAGACATCAAAGATGAGCTTGGAGGGAAAGTAGAATCTACAGCCCAAGAAGTGCAGCGCTTGAGGCAAGAGTTTCGAGATGAGGCCCAAGACATCAAAGATCGATTAAAACTGGGTGGTCGACCCAATTCCTCAGCTGGAGGTCAGCTTGTTGATATTTACTGTATATCTATTACTAGTAAAGTATTTTTCCTTTTACATAGGCACTTACGTAACGCACAAGGGTTACATGTACGGTGCACATTTTACACTTTTTATGACAGAAATGGCTTCATATATTTTTGAAGCGGAGAAATGTCAATTATTTATCGTTACTTGACTATAGCCGGACGACCACTCATACTAATTGCCTGTTTTGCCTCTGTTGTAAATGTTAGTCGCTGCAGTTACTGACACTTTTCCCCCTTACAGTTAAAATTCGAATGCGGATTGATTGTGAGACCATCCCAGACCCTCATCCGCCACTTGAGACATTTGAGACAGCGGTTATAGCCTGTCAGGGTACCCAAGCTTGTGGCGACGAGCTGGTAGTTACTGGAACGTCAGAAGAAACGCCTGAAGATACACAGGATACTCAGGCAGGATGCCACGAGATGGTAGTTACTGGAGTTAAACGCAAGGCAGTGGAACCTGTTGCATCTGCTGGTCTACCACTCGTGGGAAGAACAGAAAACGTCGAAGAGGCAGGTTCTCAAGGAGTTATGAATTTCATCGCGCGCAAGTACTTTCAGACAGTTGACACAACCAAACCTGAGGAACGAAATGAATTTCTACGGTTTTTAACAGATGTGCGCAAAGTTCTGGTCCTAGATGCTCAATCAGGAAGTTTGATATTGACAGCACTATGTAGATCATTGGAGATACTGGATGCCTTGTGGTATGACTATTGCACAGGTCACTTGAATGACATGGCTCAGAAATATCTTGTGACAAAGGACGTTCTGAAGGAGTTTGACTTGACTGAGCTGAAACTGATAACAACTATTCAGAGGGAGGAGTACATTGTTGCACGAGAGTTTTTTCTGCAGAGTTCAGGTGAGTACACAGAAAATGTTTCGGAGGGCTGTCTTTAACCGAATGAATAGGATATCATCTTCGTCAATGCTTTAAAACACGTTAGCAGAGGTTTGCAGGTTATGTTTTTTTTTGTTTCGTCAAATTCAGCCAGGCATCATTCAATAAATTTAATGATCACATCAAATACTTCTGCTCTATCTATTTAATCGTGAGATGGGGATCGAGGACGGAGGGAGGCGACGCAGAGAGAGACGACCTCACGACCTTTTGACATTTTTAGGAAACTGATCTAACTCCTTTATCTTGGGTTAGCCCAAAGTAATATATATATATTTTCGAACCGATAGTTTAACAGAATTAACAAATGTCTTTGAATTGTAAAGTCATCAATTTGAAGAATTGTTCTCTGTAGATTTCTGTAAAAAGGGTAATTTATGTGACCCGAGCACTCAATTCGGCTATCCTTCTCTTTTATTGATGGACAGATTCGTACTGGGAGTAGCTAAAATGATCCAAAAATACTTTCTAAAGACAGCTCAAATATATTTGCGATAGATAAAGCTTACTATAATCAGTCGCTCAGCCAATTTATGAGGGCTTTTGATGATGTTACCTGCTATATCATCTCTAATCTTGAGCGACGCCGATGTAATTTCTTTTTATATTTTGCTTTCAGATAATGGTACGCCGCAACACCTAAATCCTCGTAGTGACATGCAAATATTTGTAAAAACATCCACTGGAAAGACGATCTCTTTGGAAGTGGAACCGGCAGACACCATTGAGAATGTGAAAACAAAAATTCAAGACATAGAGGGAGTCCCACCGGATCAGCAACGTCTTATCTTTAAGGGGCGGAAATTGGAAGATGGCTGTTGTCTGAGTGACTACAATGTTCCGAAAGAAGCGACTCTTCTCTGGATTTTAAGACGTCGTATTAGCATGAAAATCTTTGTAAAAAAACTGACTGGAAAGACGATCACTTTGGAAGTGGAACCGTCAGACACCATTGAGGTTGTGAAAACAAAAATTCAAGACAAAGAAGGAATCCCTCCAGATCAGCAACGTCTTATCTTTGCCGGGCAGCAATTGGAAGATGGCCGTTGTCTGAGTGACTACAATGTTCCGAAAGAAGCGACTCTTCTCTGGGTTTTAAGATGTCGTAGTAGCATGAAAATCTTTGTAAAAAAATTGACTGGAAAGACGATCACTTTGGAAGTGGAACCGTCAGACGCCATTGAGGTTGTGAAAACAAAAATTCAAGACAAAGAAGGAATCCCTCCAGATCAGCAACGTCTTATCTTTGCCGGACAGCAATTGGAAGATGGTCGTTGTCTGAGTGACTACAATGTTCCGAAAGAAGCGACTCTTTACTTGGTTTTAAGACTTCTTAGTGGCATGAAAATCTTTGTAAAAACATCGACTGGAAAGACGATCACTTTGAAAGTGGAACCGTCAGACACCGTTGAGAATGTGAAGGCAAAAATTCAAGACAAAGAAGGAATTTCACTGGATCAGGAACGTCTTATCTTTAAAGGGCGGCAATTGGAAGATGGTCGTTTTCTAAGTGACTACAATCTTCCGAAAGAAGCGACTCTTCACTTGATTTTCAGACTTCGTGGTGGAATACAAATCTTTGTAAAAACATCGACTGGAAAGACGATCACTTTGAAAGTGGAACCGTCAGACACCGTTGAGAACGTAAAAGCAAAAATTCAAGACAAAGAGGGAATCCCACCGGATCAGCAACGTCTTCTCTTTGCCGGGAAGCAATTGGAAGATGGCCGCTGTCTGAGTGACTACAATGTTCCGAAGGAATCGACCCTATACTTAAGTTTAAAACCTCGTGGTGGCATACTCATCTTTGTAAAGACTCTCACTGGCAAGATCCTTGCTCTAAATGTGGAGCCTTCAGATACGATTAAAAATGTGAAACTGAAAATTCAGGGCAAATTGAGTATCCCATCAAGCCAGCAACATCTGATCTTTAGGAGGCAAGAACTCAAAGACCACCAAACATTGGATGAATATAAAGTCACAGAAAAATCCTCTGTACATTTGCGACTCCAGGACGAACTTGATAGAATCCTTATCAATGTGGAGTTTCCTAGTGGAAGGAAGATCTTTATAAATGTTTCACCAGGGGATGATTTTGAGAGCGTGAGAAAGATAATCTATGACAGAGAAGGGATTCCAGTTGATCAACAACGCCTCAGATTTGTTGGCAAAGAAGTTGTAGACAATCACCTTCCTTTGAGTGAGTACGACAATCAGATTGAATTATCTCTGCAACTGGATGTGAAACAACAAAAAAATGAACTCCTTCTTCATGTGAAGACATGATCTGGAAAAACAAATATCAAAATTGAAGCTGTATCGGGAGATACCATCCACGATGTGAAAATGAAAATAATGGAGGAGATTGGAATACCGCCAAATCAGCAACTACTTATGTTTAACACTCAAGAAATTAAAGATGAACGCCGCACGTTGGAAAGCTACGACATCAACAGCGACTCCATCATTGAACTGGTTATTAGAAGAACACATGGTAACGAAAGTCATATTTAAGCGAAAATGCAGAATGGTATAAGAACCGTAATAGATGTATCACCGGAAGATACCATCACGGATGCAGTAGCTAATCACTTTTGGTGACACGAAACTCGAAGGTGACAACAAACTAAGCGATTTCGGTGTGTAACATGGATCCAGTTTTAATGACTACCAGTTCTAAAACTCAGAAGAAGTGTATCGTAAGTTAATTAAACTAGGCCTAACACAAATCCCAAATGGAAGACGAAGATATTTGACAGCTCCATAAAAGAACGAGACAGACTTTGCCTCAATCACGCAACGAGTTAAATACAATCTTTGAGAGACTCCTTTCAGCTCGTTTCCTAGATCTCACCATGCAGATACCGCCGATCACTAAAACTTATTTAGCCTGCATTTAGTTTTAAGATGGCTAATCACCCAGGGATGACAGAGCTTAATAACGTTTGTGCATGCGTTAGGTTTTTGAGTCATTTGCACGTTCGATTTTCTATTTCGTTGCTTCTAGGCGTAGTTTCTCTTCCACTTTTCTTTTATAGGACTACCTTCAAAAACTTTGTACACCCCTAAATATTTTCAAAAATTAATTTTCTCTTTCAAAACACTGGAAGTAGAAAAGTGCTTACAACGATAACAAAATGCCTCTGTTTTAATCGCTAGCCCCTTTTTTTCTCCGCAAATTTCGCTGAAATTTTGACCTCGAGCGTTTGAGCCCGCGTTATTGACCGCATACCTTTTACGTAGCATTTCGTTATTCAGCTCTTCCAACATTATAATAAGATCAAAATTTTTATGAACCTGTTTCTCTTGCCCATATTAGGAAGGACTTGGAATATCGCTGTCACAAAGTAGAACTATTTTTCCCATAGGAATTTTATTAGTCGAAAGGCATCAGAATCTTGAAGCATGTAAAAGATGTTAGAATCTAAATTACGATCGGCTTTTTATAGAGACACTTATACTGATAACGTTTTCCAGCTCAAGATATCGCGAGGTAACTATGTAACAGTCGTTTTGCTCAACCATATATCTAACGTGACAGTCTTAGGTCTATCACAACCTCTACAGAACGTCACGTCATTCTTCCTCGCGTGATATGCGAGGGAAGCTGTGATAATCTCAGATCAGATACAATCTGAGGTGAACTTTCCTCGTTCAGAATTTTGATATGCTAAATGTATTGCAATTTATAGTTTTTCACTTGCGCGCGGTTGGTTTAAACGCTTCACGTGATCGAATATGCCTCAGCTAAAAATAGGGAATATCTGAGGATGTACTCAAACTGATGTTCCCCTATTTTCAAACCTTACATCTACTATGATAAAAGTGTTCGTTTAAAATTGAATTCAAGATGAAAGAGCATTAAGTTACCGTTACAGAAGAAGTTTGTTTGTTGATAAGTCATACCACGGAACACACTGAAAAGTAAACATCCCACGCAGCAAACAGTAAGCTGTTCGTAAACATTTTCCCGCACGTTGCAAAACTATCTGAAGGACAATAAACACGATACTTGCATCTTTGTTCTGGAACATAAGCTTTTTCTCGAAGCTCATAGCTTTCTTCTGGGTTCGCTACCAGAAAACTGTTCGCATCTCGTGACAGATTGTGTCCGCGAACAAATATTTTCGCGTTAAACGGAAGCTATTGTTTTTATATTTGCAATATTCACTCTAGAGTCTTAGGATATTATGAGATAACTATGTAATAGTTTTTCATTTAAACCATATCCCTTGCGTGACAGTCTTAGTCTCTTTCGTGACATTTTCCAGGATGTCGCGTGACATACGAAAGGTTAAGTCACACATGATATGGTTCTTCTCTATTTTTAACTACAAACCACACGCAATTTATACAAACACTTTTTGCAAATTTGATGCTAGATGAGATGTAGATGAAAATTTTTCATAGTAAACCTTATTTCGTAATCCATAATTTTGAACAGGATTTGTTTCCAGGTAACCACCACTTTCCTAACTGAAGATTTGGCTCCTTATTTTTGGTAGGGTAGCAAAGGGACTTTCCCGATCCCGTGTCACGCAGGAATTTCAGCAAAATTCACGCGTCACGAATTTATTTTCTATAGTGGCAATTTGCTTTATCAACTCGGTTAATAAAACTAAATAATCTTGTAATACCCCTTTCCACACACACACCCACACACGCAGTACCTCAACTTCTTTGCAAACTTAACTTGCTCCCTATTTCTGAAAAGACACACGGCAAAATGGGATCTATTTGTTGAATAGACTGATATTTCAGTGCCATTTCCTTCAGCAAAGGTTCGTTCCTTTCCTATTGTCAGATGACTTTTCTTTTTCCTCGAGATCTACGTTTGCTTAACAATTAACGAGCAAAAAACAAACTAAGAAATTTAATTTCTTTACCTTGACATGCGCTGTTTAAGACATGCGTGGGTTTTTTCGTCGGAAAAGGACAGCCAATTAGTGAGCGTATAAAAGGACCTCTTGTTGCAGCGTTTAGATCACCCCTAATGAAGGCACTAGACAGGAGTGTCGAAACGTTGAGTCTGTGAATTGTAACTTCTCGGTTACATTCATTAAACCTTTAAACCAGAGTAGCATGAAACCATGTCTAATTGTCCACCTGGTTGCCTTGTGAACTTAAATATAGTTTAATACTATTTCCACTCAAGTGGACGTCGTCTTCTATCATAGTTCCCTTGTTCCACAAGGTCATGGCCTTATCCTGTTTTAATTAATTCAATTCGGCATGTTGTCAATGACTTGTATAAGAAGTGTCTCTGGAATGATTCTTGTGATTTTCTGTGATCGTCAACCAGAAATAAACCATTAACAATACTCAGGAGCCTATTACTTGGAGCGTTCGACTCCTATACTGGGCCTATGTCACGGCGTTTTCACAGAAAGGTTTGTTTTTAGACTATCTTTTCGCGGGAAATAGGCTACTCGAGCTCACTTGGGCAATAAGATCCATGAAACGCGAAGAAAAAAAATGGCGGCCCTATGCGGGGACGTCTTCATATCGAAACTACGCAAATTCCGCCTTTCTTTTGCTGTATTCCAGTATTCCAATCCTTCATTTCCTTATGTATCCCACTATCCTTTGCACAGGCAGCCCAAGCTTCAACTGTGAGATGATCGTCTTGCACAATGACAGTCGTAGCGGAATTATAAGAGTTTGTATGAGAATATGTACGACCTCTCTAAGGAATAAAACAATACGTCAAATTCTCAATAAAAATACCTCACCTTACTTCCACAGTGTATCACTTGTTATCTGACCGCTTTCTTTGATGAAAAGAACCCATTTTAGCGAGTTGTCCAATTCGAGGTTATCAACGTACCTTAGAAAAGCTAAAATGGGTTCTTTTCATCAAAGTAAACGGTCAGGTAACAAGTGATACGCTGTGTAAGTAAGGTGAGGTATTTTTATTGAGAATTTGAAGTATTGTTTTATTCCTAAGAGTGGTCGTAAATATTCTCATACAAACTCTTAGAATTCCGCCACGACTGTTATTGTGCAAGATGATCATCTCACAACTGGAGCTTGGGGCACCTGTGTCCTTTGCATATTTTTCACACTCGCGAAAAAAATTCGCAGGAGTGTGGATCATCTTGGTATTTTTTAATTTTTGTGTGTATCAAAGGTCACCCGTCTTCTGATTCTGGCCCCTCTAAAGAAAATTTCATGAAAAGAGTCCAAATTCAAGACGATGAAGAGGCAAAGTGCCAGCGATGATGGAGAGCGCGGAAAAAGAAATTGCGCGAGGAAGCTGTGTGCGAGTTGTCTTCATCTCAATAATCTTCATCCACACAGTCCGTAAAGAAAATTTTGCGACGTAGATTGAACAGAAGCGGGTGCAACAAAATGAGGAGCGTTTTTCCAGATCGCAAGATAATGCTACTCTTTCGAATTGGCCTTAGATCTTGTCAAATCTTGGTTATTTTTGTGAAGTGCGGTCGATAATAGTGCTACATGCGGCAAAATTCACGGTGCCTATTGTCGCTTTGATCATTGAACAGTCAAGAATCGGGTTTATCTTCATTAGAACTTTCCTCGGAACTGCTGCTTCCCGAGGTATTTTCAAAATACTCACACCACAAGCGTCCCAAGCTCACTGTTATTCCTGTTATAAGACGAAGTCAAGGCTGCACACTTCGATTTTGACCGTTGTATAACAGGAATAACAGTGACGGCAAAGCAATTAAAACGGCAGAGAACGCCGGAAACCACAACGGACACAAAAGATGTGAGTAAATGCTATTGATTTAACGTGTAAAATGTTCATATTTCGAAATATTTATCGCTGTAAATCGACCATATTTCGTTCCCCATGCTATTCCTTGTAACATGTTCAAATTCTCAACGGTTCCTCCCGTAAGTTAACACCAAGTCACACAGCATGTGACGCTTTCATGAATTAATCGTTTGCTTTTTATCGAGACATGACCTTGGGGCGCCTCTCTTCACACGAATCTGCACTCGAACTATCGCAAGAAGCCTCGCATTTCCCTGCTGTTTTTCTTTCGATATATTAACGAGTACAGTTAGAAATTAACCAGGCGCTAATCTTGATTGGTCGATGTGCTCTCGTGGGGAGCCCTAGTTCGCGGTAAATTCAAACTAAAAATAGACTGGTCTGTGAAAACGCTATGACAAAAATACAGGGCAGTTGAAAGCTCCAAGTGATAGGCTCCTGCAATACTACATGGCGCATATAAAGATAGAATTAAAAAAGGAAAATAAATAAGTGCTTTTCCGAAGTGTTCCATTCTTTGAACAAAATAAGGTTAAAAATTGCA